AATGGAAAAACAAAGCTTGGATGATAGCACATTTGTTTATAGCCTGGTTTATTGAATATTCTAAGACTAGTATTGAGACTTACTGCTCAAAAGAGAAGATTCTTTTTGAAATACTGAAGTTGACAATGCACCTGGTCACCCGAGCTCTGATGAAGATGTACAAAGAGATTACTATTTATATATTACTATATAAATACTCCTAAGAAGTTACAGAACAAGGACAACAAAAAGTAGTAACTATTTTCTTGAAGTCATTAGGTTTTATATAAAAATCAGTGTTATGTTGTTTTCCAAGTAATCAATATACTTATAATTTTAAAAAGTATTAAAACCATATTTAATGGCCAATGAAATTATACCTCTTGATGTTTAATATATTGTGTTTATCTGTAAACATTTATTTCTTTAATATTTACAGTGATTTATAAAAGATTATAAATTGCTAAAGGCTCAGATGATTATTAGCATTTTTAACAATAAAGTATTTTTTGTTAAGGTATGCATATTGCCTTTTAGACACAAGGCTATTGCATACTTAATAGACTACAGTTTAATATAAACATAATTTCTCTGTGCCCTGGGAAACTAAAACATTTGTGTGACTCACTTTACTGTGATATTCACTTTATTGCGGTAATCTGAGACAGAATCTGCAATATCCTTGAGGTCAGCCTGTGCTTGGGAAATACATCTGGACAGTTAGATTGTGCTAACTATATTATTGAGTACATGGCATCAGGAGTAAAACAGGAGGAAGTAGCAAATATAGAAACATTTGTTTTTTCTAGCCAGAAAAGAGTAATAATTAAACTTGCCTTTGAGGTAATTTAGCCTGGCACAATCAGACAGATTGGACTGGGTTAGAGTGGAGCCCAGAATAAAGAAACCTAAGTGAGAGGCTACTGCAATAATCAGGGCTGAAATCGCTGAGAAATATGATTATGGGAGTTAGTAACAGAAATGTGTTAAAGAGCAATATTTTAAAACTCATAAAAGAGACAATTTGACACAAGAAAAGGCACCCTGGAAACAACTGTGACTCTCATCCAATAATCATATGTAAAATTCTGTCCTAATTCATAAAAACATGTGGAAAGGTAGAAATCAACTTCAATGAATAAAAATACACATTTGTGTCACCTATTAATATATAAAAGCTGTTTAATTTGGCAATGTAAACTTATTGCACCATCTGAATGTACTAACTTGAAAGAGTGAGGTTTGCTTTATTCCCTCAAAGTCAAAAGATTGCTCTTAGGAAGCCCCAAAAGGCATGAACTCTCTAGAAGAAATACTATGCTTGGAGCTCCCTGAAGTGCACATTTGAGTACCATTAGCCAAGGAGAGATGGTTTGCCTCAACTTTCATGGGAATATACAAGGATAAAGGGCATTGCTAAGGCAGCCATGACTCAAACCACCTAAGGATACAATGCCTGAAATCAACACCTCCTATAAGATTGGAAACAAAATAAAGAGTAACACAGATAACAGCCTGTTTTGGCAATTTCCAGCAGGAGCTGAGCCAATGAGACATCCCTAAGCTGTAACATCCCCAAGCTGTAACATCCCCAACTCATTGAAGTGAGCCACATGTAACATCTCCACGAGAAATTCAGCTTGATGACTGTAGAAACACAGGCAATATTGGCAAGAGTCATCTCCAAAAACATGGATTGAAATCTGGTTATTAAAAGCAGGTAGCAAATAACTGCATGTCACTTCAAGCTGTATGTTTAATCATCAATGTAAAATAGTGATTACTCAAACTTTTTAAAGGCTACTGTTCCTCTCTGAAGATTCCACAGAGATCCTAACCAAAAACAGCAAGAGAAAATTTATTCTCATCGTCCATGCTTGTGGTATTTCAGTGACTTTTGGAGCTTAAGTGTGGTTCACTCTCTGTATTTGTTCTCAAATCAATATTACTGTGACACAATAAAGAAGCAATGTTCTTAAACATTGTTTATAAACATTATACAAACATTTTTCTAAAAGACCACAGCACTCCAACACAATCTCTTGCTCTTCCTGTGTGTGCATGGGCTTGTGCATGCGTGTCTTTGTGTGCAAGTGTGTGTATACAGGATAATCATCTCTCATAGCTGGAACATATATTAAGTTAGTGCAAAAGTAATTGCAGTCTTTGTAATTACTTTTGTACCAACCTTATATGTGTGTGTTTGTGTGTGTGTGTGTGTGTGTGTGTGTGTGTGTACGTATATGTGCATAAAACTCTAACATGATGTTGGTGTTTTGGCTAGCGTCACATTTCTTGTTTCCAAGAACAAACAAAATTTATGGTCACAGCATGAAATTTAGTTCTTTTTTTCTGTTGTCCTCTTTTATCAGTTTTCTGTCATCATGGAACAGGGTTTAATGATCGAAAAGAAGCATGTTGCTATTAGTTTTAAGACTGAGGAAACAAATGTGTGACTGTTGGACTAATAGCTACAATTGTACATCCTGATACTATTTAAAACTAAAATTGGGCTTTTTATTGATTTTTTTTTAGTCACTCTAAAATTTTAGAAAAAAAATCCTAACCATACGGTCACTAAGCACTAGAAAAAAAAAGGCCTCCAGGCCTTTATCAATTTGTTAGCAAGAAATAATTTTGGATTAGTACTGTGCCATATATCCTATAGACCATTCAAGCTAGGAAGATATTATCGGCCAGGCACAGTGGCTCAATCCTGTAATCCCAGCACTTTGGGAGGCCGAGGCGGGTGGATCACGAGGTCAAGAGATCAAGACCATCCTGGTCAACATGGTGAAACCCCGTCTCTACTAAAAATACAAAAAATTAGCTGGGCATGGTGGCATGTGCTTGTAATCCCAGCTACTCAGGAGGCTGAGGCAGGAGAATTGGCTGAACCCAGGAGGCGGAGGTTGCGGTGAGCCAAGACCGCGCCATTGCACTCCAGCCTGGGTAACAAGAGCGAAATTCCATCTCAAAAAAAAGAGATATTATCACCACTCCAGAGGAGTTCACTATTTTGATTTTCCTCACTTCTTTATGTATAGAAAGTTATATGCCTAAGTGAAGCAATATGAACTAACAGCTGTATTAAGCCCAACTCATTAATGATGCTGTGTCCCAGGCATCCAGGGGAGAAGTCTGAGAAAGGAGTCTTTTTCTCTCTAGCTCTCCCTCTCTGTAACACAGACATAACTAGAATTTCATGTCAAGAATACTTTAATCACTGATGAAAAATATAACATGACAATTTCATAAAGTTGATGAACATTACTGGTTACAACAGAAAAGTAGAATTTCATCGTTTTATACAGTGCAGAAAATATATACTTCTATTCCTGAAAGAGTTGGCCAGTTTTAGTTAGTGATCCAATGAGGAAGCCTTAGTAAAACACATATGTTCTTAAAACCAGGGTATATCTCTGCCAAAAAGCTATGAGGTATATTTATACTTGAATGCAAATTATATGATGTAGCCTGTCAGTTCATTGCTGCTATGGAACATGCAAGAATTCTGTTTATTATTATATTCAAATTCTTTATAAAAGCAATAGGCAAAAGGAGATTAAATGTGCTAAACATTGCTTTCAGCTTGGACTTTGTGTTCACAGGTGAGCAGTAGGCAGTAGAAATCTCCTTCCTTTGGGACAGGCTTTTTGCATTGTAAAAGCAACACCACATCATTTGCACAAATCCTTGTCTACCTACCATTGCACATCTTCATACTATCATAATATGGCTTTGGAGGAATGGAACTCAGGAAGTTTTGACTATGTTTATATATCTTCAGCCTAATATTTTTAATGTGGCAAAAGTAAACAAAGCAGGAATATGTATTTAATCTGACAGCCTATTTTCTTATTGTATGAATATGTAAAAACCCACCTGTTCAAACTTTGCACATGATCCCACAAGAAGAGCGGCACTGACAGGTGGATGGATGGACTGTATTCGAGCATTTTCTGGTTAAACACATTCACAAATCCCAAAATGCACATTGAAAGACTTATCTGCTGCCACAGGCATCCAACTCGATTTATAAGGAAAATATTGATTGACTACCTACCAAGTGCTTTATGCTTCATGTAAATAAAAAATTGTGCTGCATCATCTCTGCCCTCAATCCTGAATATTTACAAGAAGTACATGGTATCTGTTGGAGTAGTTGAAGGATATGGAACATATTTGGGTGTAATTACTGTTTTTAGTTTGAAGGAAAAATCAAATTACCTGCTGTTTCAAAGAACATTGGTTTTTATTCCCTTGGTACAAAATCAATAAAAGTCCCTCCAGCACAGCGGCTATTGCTTAATGGCCCTAAAGAGTTAATGTGCTGCCTAAATTGAACACAGTTCAGTGTCTACACCAAGTGGGCCCTCAATTAGTGTTTATGGATTGACTTTCTCACAGGCGGTAAAAGCTCAGTTTATAGAGATGGATCCTATGAGACTAAAATCAATAATTTAAGAAAATTGCGTTGAATTCTTTATTTGTAGCAATATATTATGTACAGATATAAAAACTATATGTATTTGTATCCCTTGTTGAAAACAATATTTTTTGTTCACTGACAGATGCTAATAGATGCTCAGTAGCCTTAAATAATAATCTAAGCATAGGAGACCATAAAAGTTGGATAACTTAATGTATATATTCTGATTGTGATATAGGACTGACTATAAATAAATCAAAGATCCAAATATCTGAAAATGGGATGCAAGCATCACTGATTAGTAATAACTTTTAATCACAGTAATAAAAATTCCCCTGTAGTGAGAAACATTCTATTTGAATTGCTTATTGTAGATCATCTCTAGTGTATAGAGTCTGACAACTTTCTACATTATTTTATACTATTCTTTAAGGCAGATAAGCATATTTTCAAAGATGTGCCCAAATCAGTCGTTTAATTTGCAAGCATAATGAATTTCCTCTTTAGCCTCCATGAGGGTGGTATGGTTTTACCACTTGATCAGCTGACAGATGAGAAAGCATCTTCTTAGTCAAAGCAGAATCTTAGAGCCCTAGGGAATGGACTGCTGGGTACTTCAGGAGAGCATTGCTCTTGCATCCTATGTCCAAACCACAGCTGTGCTCAGCATTTGAAGTTGGAACAAATAAACCGACACGTATCTACTACCACAAGATGGGAAGTGGAATTAGTTCAGAGAGCAAGGAGTCAGCCAAAAGATCGAAAGAACTGGAGAAAAAGCTTCAGGAGGATGCTGAGCGAGATGCAAGAACTGTAAAGCTGCTCCTATTAGGTAATTTCTTTTCCCTTTTGCTCTCAAAAACCTGACTTTTTTTTAACTGGGATACATTTACTTTTCTCAAACTTTAATTTTGAGTGTATTATCATGTGGGAAATTTATTATGAAAATGTATTTGGAAACTTAAGCAGACTTTACTAGCACTTTATCAATATTTAATAATTTTTCTGTTTAGTGTTTTATTACATGTTTTTTCGTTAGCAAAGAGGTAAATATTTATCAGCTAATTTCTCTGTCAATAATATGATTTACTATTAATAAAAGAAAAATCAGATATATTTACTTTATTACATTCTAATTATTTTCTGAATGTCAGCCTTTTAATACTGAAAGCAATCCTTTAATTAAAAGTCATAAGGAGTTACATTATTTTGTTTAAACAGAAATATGTTGAGTTGTTTGATGCTGAAGTTGATGTTAGTAATTTACTTGTGTTGTTAAAATCAATTAGTCAAGTTATTTAGAGAGTAATGATAAGGTACTTTAAATTATATTGATACTATTACTTAGGCTCCTTAATACTGCCTGTGACATTACTTGTATGCTTGAAAAATACTCTATCTAAATCCTTTTGGTGCAATTATATATTCATTCAGGTCAGTATTTATGTCTCTTTTATATTTTTCCTTTCCTCAAAACTCAACACAGTGTTTTACTTTGACTCTAAATTCAATAATGTTCAATTAATTGAAAAAATAAAAATAACCTGTATGCAGATTTTTTTCTATAAAGCATAAAATATTTTATATGAAGAATAAACATTTTACATGCAGTTGTCACTGAAACACAAATATGGTTTTGAAATAAAATAATGACCTCTATAAAGAAGAATACAAAATAAGTGCTTAATTCTGATTGAATTATAGTAAGTTGTACGTTCTCCCTGATTTTGATTATACATAAAAGGACTTCATTTTATTTCAGAATTGTGCATATTTCACATAACAAATTTCCTCATATTTCAAGTATTTAAACACTTAAATACTTAATAATATAAAATGCATTAAATTCTTAAATTTATTTAAGTATTCCTTCATTGTGTCTAATTTGCTCTCAGTAGCAAGAGTGTTTCAGACGCCAACTGTGGGATTCCCAGCTCTTGCTCCTTAAAGGAAAGGAAAGGTTCTTGCCCCTTACACAGGTTCTGTGCCTGCACACAGGCCCACAGCACTTGTCAATAACCATCCAGATGTCGGTGACTTAGAAAGATGTGGGTTATGTGCTTACGACACCAGGAAATATATGCTTCCTAACACATCAGAGAATTCTGTTAGTTTCTGATCAGACTGAAAGTAATATGGACATAGGAAAAGCAAATGAAAGGTGAAAGAGAAAGACAAGCATTCCTACAAATGCATTTTTATATTCCTCTTATACTAAGATCAATGGAATAAGAATGGTGATAAAATGCATTCAAAATCCCCATATTTAAATAACATTTCAATAGATGTGTGTTTTTAATATACCAAATGTCTGTTTTTTATATATTCTCTTATTTTGTAAAATTGCAAATGGAAAACCAAAAAAAATGAAAGGGCTAATATCACAATTTAGATTAAGATAAAAACTATTAAACATGCTAAAAGCAATTACTCTTGAGATAAGCATATCAGAGCAGCCAGTCAACTGGAGATTCAGTTGTAATGGAAAACAACAAGGAAGAGTGGTGGTTTCTAGGGGCTAGGGTGGTTGGGGCGAACAAGGGGAAATGGAGTTGTTGCTTAAAGATTTTAAAAAAATCACAGTTAAATAGGAGGAATAAATTTCAAGAGATCTATTGTACAGCAAGGTGACTATAGTTAATTATGATATAGTGTATTCTTGAAAAATGTAAAGAGAGTGGGTGTTATGTGCATTTATCACAAAAATGATAACTGTGAAGTAATACATTTGTTAATTAGCAAGATTTAACCATTCTACAGTGTATTTGTACTTTAACATACCATGTTGTACACAATAGAAGCATGCAATGTTGTCGATTAAGAAAATAAAAATGTTTAAAAAGAATACGTATAGATGACTAAAAATAGATTATTGAAAATTGAATCAAAAAGGGTTAATGGAACATGGACAAAAGGAAGATTCTTTTTTTTAATTTGGAACTGAAAATCAACAGACTACTGATAAAGATGGGCTTCCAGAATTAGTAAATTTCACAACTCCACAGAGCCATTGACTGAGACCCAACTTATTGTATGCAATGCTATCAAATGAAAAATAAATTATATAAATTATGTATAGACTTAAGTGGTGGTTAAATCAAGAAGAAAGAGCAACATTTGTACCAGAAGTATAAAAGAATAATTAGTGGGACCCTTATATGTTTTACTTTCCCAACGTGATTACAATTTTATACATTTAGTTTCATCATTACTAAGTAAAATATTTGGATTTATTTGGTTCTAACAGTATGTGCCCTAAACCCCTTTGTCACATTTTATTTATACAAAATAAATTAAATTCTCTTAAGTTGTTTATATTTCAATTATATTACAAACAATTGACTAAGTTTCCATTCTGGATTTCATCTGAATACTATATATGATAATATAGTTATCAAATTCCTAACAGTCATATAACTCTACTTCATTCTCATATTTTTGGACTGAATTCAAATTCTCAAAACTATAATTTTTATATTCAAGGTGACCTCATTAAGACATTAGAAAAGTGTTCAGTTGAACGAAACCAAAGCTTTCCACTCTCCCACCTCAAATCTCCTCACCAGTGAAATCTATTTAATTTTCCCATCATTGAAATGGTGCTCTCATTCATCAGTGTGATCTGGATAAGTTTTAAGTTTCACAATGAGTGTATGTCACATGGGGCTAATCAGTTTAAACTTAGTAGTGACCAAACCAAGTCAATAACTACATTTACAAAAATAAGAAATCTAAAACCACTTTTGACAGACTTTTTTTCTGTATGTTGATCTTCATCTAATGAATTTCTAGAAGCTTAAACTCATAACAGCAACTTTCCAAATTTAACATGTACTGTAAAGCAATTGTAACCATTTGGTATCATCGAACACAAGATTTCACTGAGTCTGAAGAGCTATCAAAGTGCTACTTTACAATTAAAGGATCATCTCACAGACAGATGCCTTTTTATTACACTTTTTAGACCTTCAGTAAAATCATGGAACAGATGCCAAATCTGTGTTTTATTTTAGCAAAAAGTAGGCTTTTAGAAAACACTGGTGATGATTCATACCTTGCTGAGCACAATAGATAACTGCAATCAAGACAATCATGTCATATGCTTTTTAAAAAATTCACTTGCAAAGATATTCCAGAAAGAGCACATTAAAAAAAAAACAAACTCTAATGAATATTCTCATTTTTATCTAAATTCGTTCTGAAAGTTTTATCAATGTTTCATTCAATGGTATTTTATTCAAAATAATACCTATTATTTAATTGTAAACTCAATACGGGCCATGTTTCCATTTTTCTTTTCTCTTCTCTTCATGCTTATTGTGTCAAATTTCAGTCTGAGTTGATTTTGCTGCATCAGTTTCCTTTGTGTTTTGGCAAATTTTCATCACATGGGTTGTTTAGATTTAAAACACCATGGAAAGTATAGGGAAACAACTAGCCTTCCTTCTTCTTCATATTCAAAACACCCTGTGCTATAAATAATTAACATTTATTCTACAATTTTTCACTTTCAGCTAGTAATTTCGAACAATACCATGGAAAATTTATCATAGATTTTTTTTTCGTTTTAAAATATTTTATTTCTAATTTTTCTTTGTGCTACATTGTAAGCACCATACTATTATTACTTTAATGATGTCATCTGAGCTTTACTGTTTGAAAATACTATTCCACCAATCTGGCTTTTAGAAACATGAATAGGGATGGAGTCTAGAGATCAAAAATTATTTTCAAATGTAATATATTTATTATAGCTAACATTTTCAAACTTTTCAAATGGTTTCACTTATTCAACAAATAGACATTTTGGAAGGTACGTAGTAGGAGACTTATAATGATTTTGATGCTATCTAAAGGCTTGGTACAAAATAATTGGTAAAATAAAACTTACACAACAGAATAAACTAAATAGGTTTAACCACAGAGCAGAATGAGGAGAATACAATTTAATACTAGAACAGAATGTGTTTTTAAACCATCTGAGTTAGAAATTGATTTATTAATATCTTCATCCAGTATAATGTTTTTATACTTCCCAGAGTGACCATAGGCTAGCCACATAAACTCAGAGAAATAATGGATGCCAAGTGTTTTGTAACTTGTAAAGATCTAGACAAATGTGGTTTATTCTTTGGCATAATAGATTCCCAAATCTGAAAAAATTAAAACTCAATAAATGTGTATCATTATTCTTAGTTTGTCTTTTTTTTACATGTAACTAAGAGAACTGAGGACTCAATACTTGGGTTAAATTTAAGTGACTATTTTTATTCTATGTGTGCTTTTTAATAGGTCTTTTTTTTTTTTTTAATTATCCCTAGATATGAGTGGGAGAGATTCCAGGAAACTAGAGTTGTTTCTGAGTTACTGATTAGATTATAAGTTCATCAACTCTTAATTTTATTACACTAACACAGCCCATGCCTGTCTATGGATAGGAGCAGATAAACACATTCTTTGGAATAATTACATTAGGATTAACCAGTAAGTCTCCTTCTGACCACTGGTAATAAAAGAAGAATCTTCTTAACATGTAAAATGTATTCCCAATGGTATTTTCAACATTTTGTTTTGTTTTGTTTATTCAAATTAAAACCAGTTTTTCCTTCCTCCAACAAGAGTACATTTTTATTTTAAACGTATTTATAAACATTATAAAATAATTTATTTTTGTATGGCATAATGGTTACAGTTAATGACATTATATTGTATTCTTGAAAAATGCTGAGAGTGAATAAGTGTTCTCACCGCAAAAATAACTATGTAGGGTAATGCATATGTTAATTAGCTAGATTTAACTGTTTCAAAATGTATATATATTTCAAAACATCA